TTAAAGTAATCGCAAAATAAATCGAAAATGAAAATGTTTTATATATCTTTACGTTTCAAAGGTTTTTGAACATTGGGTCGATTGTGATTAGTCGTCGCGTATGTGAATAGAGATCTGTCATTGTATGCGTACCGGAGTCAACGTTGTATGCGTACCGGCGTCAACGTTGTATGCCTACCGATATCAACAAGGAAACCGACATAGATAGATAAATAAACATTTTAACATTAAATTACATCGTAGTACAAATCTTGATTTAATGAAAAATGCCTGGATCAAAGAATATTCTACCATGTTCCTTGAAATAATAAAACAAAAAAACATTTGTACTAAACGTAAGTTTATTGATTAGAAATTATTTCTATATTTTTTCATAGTTTCTATAAATCTATGAGTAATTAAAATGGAAAATATTTTTTAGACCAAACAGATATTACAGCTGTTCAAAGAATGAGATTATATCGCCAGCGAAAAAGTAAAAAAATACAAGCAGTTAATAAATGTATGTTAATTTAAATTGACATGAAGTTCTTCAAACACAATATTATATGATGATGAGTGAAACTGTGAAAATGATATTTGTTTAGGCGTTGTTTACATAATCCACTGTGTGAACGAATATTATAGAATTTATTAATCAGCAATTACTTCATTTCTCTAATGAAGGTTTATTTCTAAATGCTAATTACAATGACAAACCGATAATGTCATATTTGAAGTATAAAGCCATACTTATACACATTGCATAAATGTGTATAATGGTTGACACTAATAAATATTTACATCACGAGTGTTACCATGTTACTAAGAAACATTATTCAAAATTGTTATATGATGCATATATTTTTACTTAAATGCCATTTTGTACAGAAGAAAATAAGTTTTACTTCAACCGCGTATGAACCATACGCGTACTTTTTTATTATAAAAGTACCCAAGATCTATTACAATACGTTAAATGACTTAAATCTAATTGTTATCTATCTAATCATACCGTACGATACCTAAGACCATCAGTTCCTACATTTATATATATAAATCTATTACCGCCGCTTCATCATTATTTGCTATTAACCTATTATATATTACACACACACCCTACATATCTTTTTACCCCTTACACAAACCTACATTCTACCGTTTACACGCTATGTTTTACTCTAATCTATTATCTATTGTCTCTACCATATACTCTATATTCTATCGCCCACACCGGGAATTGAACCCGGGACCACCGCGTGGCAGTCGAGCGCCTTGACCACTACTCTATTGGTAGTAACTATTCCCCACAGATAATATATTAAGGGACGCACTGTTCTTCCGCGGTACTTTTTCCTATTAATCAAGTAATTAATACTAAGGCGACGCGACGACACGCGGAAAAAGGCGACCAATCACAGCGTTACGGTGGCCTAGTGGTTATGGTTGCTGCCTGCCACGCAGAGGGCTCGGGTTCGATTCCCGGTAGGGTTCGGAAAAAATAGCGTTTAAGAAACAATATAGGTGTAAGATAAGAAATAATATTAGGCGTATCATATATATACATATAGGGTTGTAGGCGTATTAGGCGTTCTATATAGTTAGTTAAAAGGCGTACGACATAGAATTTAAGGTTTAGGCATACGTAAATATGATATGGGTATCTTATAAGAAATACGTGTTATATGATAATCGTTAGCACAATTTAGATACGGGTACTGTATAAATGCATTTTTATCCTTATAACAACTTTTTAAATATTATTTAAATAAAAATAAAAATTCAAAATTCAAAAATTTAAATAAAAAAGTACGTGACATACCTCAACAATTAATTTTTGCAGCCACGAGTACAAGTTTTACAATATACATGTGCAGGGTTGTCCCAGAACTCAACCAACATGTTTCCGTTTGTCTGTTCGTCACGTTTTCTTGTGATAAATTTATGAAATGAACATTATAAGAACCATGCAAATTTTAATGCTATTATAAATATATAATTTATAATTTATTGTTATATAAATGTGTATAATGGTCGACACTAATAAATGTGTGAATCACGAGTGTTACCGTATTACTAATAAACATTATTCAAAATTGTTATATGATGTATTTATTTTTACTTAGATGCCATCTTGTACAGTAGCAAATAAGTTTTACTTCAATCGCGTGTGAATCTTACGCGCACTTTTTTTTTAAATTCGATTTAGGTTTGTAGACTTAAACGTGGACAAAAATTTTCATACTTTTCTGCTAATTATAGAGAAACTAGAGTTGCGCAAAAGCTTTTAGACAAAAAATCAAAACGAATGGCTTTTAACTTCTGAAATCAGTCCAGTCATTCTTAAGGAAACGTAGATCAACGTGGAATAATATCTACCTTACGCCCAAAGAAAAAGTCTGAATACTGTCAATTAAACATTTTTTGTATTGTATTTCAATATATCTGACTCAAAATTAAGTATCACTGTTAAATTTCTCGTTACAGTAAAATATTATAATAATTGTATGAGTACTGTCTAAAAAGCGCCAGCAAAGTCTAAAATAAATATATTTTACAATATATAAATGATAATTAACATAGTACTCCTCGGCTCTATTATATCGATATTATAGTCTAATACAAAATATCGATACACTTACTTTATAATAAGTGTTGAATCTTATGATTCATTTATATACTGCTTTAGTAAAATATTAATATAACCATATTCAAATATTTTATAAATGTGTATGCAAATTATAGATAATTTTATGCTCATTTTTATGATTTTTGGTAATATCGATTTATTGAACAAAACAAAGTCCTTAACCAATAAGAAAATACATCTAGAATGCTGGCTATACCTGGTACCAAAACAAAAAAGTGTGAATTTTCGATTCAAGTGATTTCGTGAAACAAAAAATTTCGATCTCAGAAAATTATTTCTCTGTTAAAGTTTAAATCAAATTTAATTTGATAATTTTTCATTCGTAATTGTGCGAAGTGAACGCGTATAAAGAGGATTCAATTTGGTAATTGATTATAAAATAATAATCGATTATAATGACTGAGTCGGCTCTTATTGAAGAAAACAGGTGAGCTCATTTATCTAGGTGTGATTTTTTGTTTAGGTCTGTCAAAAAAATATTTTGATCAAAATTATTTATATTAAAACAATAGTATGCAAATTTATTTTAATTGTTTAATAATAATGATTTATTAAAGTTATTTTATATCATTATTGCTGATGTTTTGTGTTTTTAAATTTAATGTTGACCAACTAACTTACAATTTTTCTTTGAAATTTATTGATTGCAAATATAATCGTACATATACAATTGTGTTATTTAAATACAATTTAATACTATTAATCATTTTTTCGGCAATTTTAAACCGGGTTTATAAAGAACAACAATTATTTTTTTGTTTTTGATTTTTTTTTATTTCGTTTAGTTCTGAGAGTGAGAGGGGTGTATTAAAGAATAATTATTTACATTTGTCGTTTTCTAAATGTATTCGATTTATTATAAAATGATTTTAATATTGCGAAATTAGTTGTTAGATTACAAATAGACATTATTATGAAACAATTTCGTTGAATATATTTGCAGATGATCAAGGTTTATTGTTAGTGAAATAATGAATTTTAATTTGTAAAGTTTATTTTTCTTCTTTTTGATTTAAAAAATAAAATGCATTTTGCATATTCAGCTTACAGTATATATTTAGTTTTTTTTAAAATTATTTATTGCATATGTTTTTAAACATTTTTTAAATTCTAAAAGCATTTCGGTAAACTATTATCTTCAACTAACGTATTAAAAAGGACAAAATTAGTTCATCTATTTTAATTAAAGCAGTGTTTTAAAGGGAATTTTAAAAATATTTTTATTGATTAAATATTTTTATTTACTTCATCACTTGTTTCATATCTGACCATACCTCTAAATCTCAATAATTTCATAATTTCATTATCTCAAAAATTAAATATTATTAATTTCTTTGGGTTCCCTGTTGACTAGTACCTAGAGCCATGGACTTCAAACCAAAAGTTTCTGGTTCGATATTCGCCTCTAAGTCTAGTAGTAGTGACATAGTCTATGTTACCAAGTGAAAATAGATCTCTTTGGCTTGACTGTGTTAATAAATCATATGTATTGCAGAAATTGTAATAATAAATTAATTGCATAGGTAGGACGACCGTTTGGGTTGCCATCAATAAAGCTTGGTCGCTTAAGAAGTTGATAAAGCAGATTATAATTTATAAGACTCTTTAATTTGTGATTGCCCTTAAATAATAGTAAAAAAGGTGCTATTGGATACTTTTCTACTTTCAGTATATATTAGGGTAGGGGGAGTCACAAAGGTCCAATTTGAATTTGAGTAATTCTGTTGTGAAAACTAATCCAATTATATCACAACAAATAAAAATATATCAAACAAACAAATATGTTTAGTAAAATTCCTAGCTAGTTTATCATTAAAATATGTGTTTTTGATGTTTTTCTCAAAAACTTGTTACCTGGTCTTTTTTCCGCATAGGCGGGGTAAGGAACAGTTCCAATGTCGTATTTTTAATTTTAAAAAGGTATTTTACGAAATAATAGCTACATTATTCAACCAATGCAAAATATAAATTTAATGGGTACATTTTTCACAGAGACAACACTGTATATAACCTTGATCTAGTATTACATCAGAAATATTCATCATCAGAGTTGGATAACTATTTATTTGATCTATATCTTGTAAAATTGCTTTTTTACTATAATATACTATTTTATTCACTATTTTTTATAAAATACTTTGCCAGGTTCTGTTGTTCCTTTTTACCACATCGACGTGTAAGCTTTTATAAAGGTTGTATTTGAAAAAAACTGTTAAATTTAATTTAAAATTAACAACACATCTTATGAAACAATTAAATAGCGACTATTTAAAAATTATATCAAGGTCTCGTAAACTAAACAACAGTGCTCACAACCAAAAAATCTAACAACGAAAGAAAATATTTTTGTTATGGATTTGCAAATATAGGTCTTTACTCCCAAAAGCAATGTCGTAGGAACCTTTTCCCCTCTACTTTCAAATATTATGGTTAAAAGATTTCTAACTTTACTTGTTTGCGAATTATAGGCGGTGGACCTCGTAACCCGCGGACCTTTAAACCCCCCTAATTTTATTATTGATATTATTATTATTATTATTATTATCCACATCCACCTTAGACGGGCAACAAGTGATTTTTTATGCAATTAATCTTCAAAATTACAAATTTATCTAACATTGTCAGTAATTTTGAGAACAATAGAATTTCATTGATTAGTACAATTGTTGACATTAATCGAATGAAACAAAATAGAATCTATATTTTTTACGAAGCAAAATAAGTTTAAAGAGCCTAAAACTCCAACTTGAAAAAAAAATTTCATACAAATTATAATTTATATCGAAGTTCAGTTCTATTAGAAAGTCGACATATGACAATATTGGCAGTTGACAGTAACATTGTAATTCATCATTTACGTAAATGCAATAAGAACTAAATTGTGCGGTAAATAATCCAGCGGCAAATAATCGAGCGGCTCAGGACAAAGTAATTGGAGACACGAGGCAACCATTACCACGTCGACAATGATGTAAGATGAATGACTTCTTGTTCACATTTCTTGCAAATATTATTTAAATGACAATAAGTCATTTATCGCCGTTTTGTATTAGCAACAAACAACTTATGTAAATTAAATTTATATCGGTTTCGTAAAACATTTTATTTAGAAAGTGGTATAAGTAATTTTTTAGCTTTTTCTGTTCCGTATTGCTGCTTCCACTTTTTTGCATACAACAAAGTTAGGAAATTAGTTAAACGATTTTGTGTTTTATGTGCAATTGCGATTGAAGTGAGGAATTAATTAAAAATGTTGCTTTTTAATAATAATCGACTAATAATACGACCAGTAGAAAGTAAGGCATTACAAGAGTTTTAGAATATTTTACTTTTTATAAACTATTATAAACAATGTTATAAAAGTTTATTTTACTGTTTATTTGTTGACTTTGTATACACGTACATTAGTCATACACATTTAATAAATTCAATATTATTTGATTGTATATAATTATAGAGCGCACCAAATATTTTTTTTGTCAAAAATATTATAAAATTGGTTGGAAGGGAGATTTTTTACCTTACTATCATCCTCCATAGTTCTTGTCTACCCTTTTAACATTTTTTGCATCCCATAATGGCGTGCTGAGCATCCGCCCTAGTCGCTCCACCCAAGCAATAGCAATAGTTATAAAAGTTATATAACTTGCAAATGTATTGTACATAGACTATATAATATTGTTATAAAATTGGTTGCTAAATTTTTTATTAGGATTTTTCAGAGAAAAACTGAAAACTGATAAAATTGCATGCATTTCAAGCAACCCAGTAGTTGCCATATGTAGAGGTGGACCACAAAGGTCGAATTTGACTTTCAGTAATTTTTCTGCCAAAACCCAATAAACTACATCACAACACCTAACACATATCAAACAAACAACTATCATACTATGTTCAGTAAATTTTCTAGTTAATTCTAAATATAGAATTATACCCGAGAGATCGCATAAAATGAGACAAGGGAAAATAGATAGATGTCTTATTTTTAGATTAATAATAAATTTAATAATAGATACAAGATTCAACCAATGCAAATATAAATTTCATAGGCACATTTTTTGCAGTGTATATAACCTGGATCTGGTATTTTGTCATGAATATTCATCAATAGAGTTGGAATTACTATTAATTTATTCAATTTCTTTTAAAATTGTTTTAACTGAATTTACATTTTAGTTTACTATTTTTCATTGCTAACGTCTTTGCCAGGGTAGAGGTTCAGTTGGTCCTTTTCACCCCACCTACATGTAAGCTATCATAGAGGTTATATAAGAACATCTATTGAATCTCACTTTAAATTAACAATACAATACACAATTAAATGGAGCATACTTAAAAATTTTATTACGGTCTTGTAAACTAAACAACAGCTCACAACAAAAAAAAAACTGTCAACAAAAGAAAGTACTCTTGCTATAATTTTTAAACAAGGCGTTTATCTCCTGGAGGCGATGTTTGACTTGAGGAAATGGCTGTTTACATATCTTGTTTCCTCTACTTGCAAATATTGTTGTTAAAAAAATTATAGTTTTACATGTTTTTGAGATATTGGTGGTGGACCTTTTTATCTTTAAGTCTTGCTTTACCTTATCTATTCAAGGTGTGCCATTTATATGTGGTCAATGGAAATGATGAATAACTTGAACAATTTTCAATGAAGTTTGATAAACTTTTTTTATTATCAAATTTAAAGCCTTACAATTATTCCAGCTAGATTCAAGATATTGACTTCATCCCATTGACTTTATTCCATTGACCACATATTGATGGTGCACCATCTAATTTCACCAAAAAAGTAGATCAAAATAAAACTAATATATCAATTTTGAATTAACTTGTAAACATCTGCCTGATACATGCAGTAACGACTTTAACTGCTCCAATTCTAGTTTTTACATACATATAAAATATTTACGCTTACCATAATACATAATTACATAAAATAATATTAACTACACTAATACATAATATCTGATCACATGTAACTTATTTTACTGGATTTTCATTTCTACAATTTTTCCTTTATTTTCAGCATCCAAGCTGCTGAGGGTCATGTTGAGAATCAGCAAGAAGTTTCTGTTGCACCTTTGAACTCTTCTAATGAACGTGGATTGGATCTTGAATCGAAGGAAGCAATTTATTTGAAAAAGTCACCTATCAGTCAGCTGATTGAATTGTGCTCTCGTGAACACATCTACCCCCCGTTATTTTCCACTGAAATGGTTTGCGACTCGAATGGTTTTCCTCAATTCAAGACCAGTGTTGTCGCATTCGGAATGAAGGCATCGGAAACGGCGGGCAGAAAACGTCTATCCAAGCACAAGGCTTGTGCTCTGCTTTTGGATATGGTGAAGGAAAGGTGGTTTAAAATCAAGTTAATTGAATAATTAAATAGATGCAAATATTAACATTATCATAGCTATCATTAACTATCTAACTTATTAATTTTTTATCTAAGAATCCGAATTGTTAATTTTATAATTCTTTGACATTTTAATCGTGCGACACCAAAATTGGAAAATTATGTGCGCATGTGAGCCAAAATATGACATCAATGGGCCGATTCTGCTGCCCAACAGACCAATGTTATGGCAAGGCCATTTTACGCTGCAATTTCCATACATTATGCTACTGAATCATACTGAATACTGCCAAAAAGTCATGTATTTGCATTGCATTCAGGCGTTTTACACATAAACTGCAACGTCGCTTGTATGTTTAGAAGCTGAGTTAGAAAGATCCAGTTATCTAAGTTCGTTTTTTTGTCATTTGCACAGTTTCTAGGTTAGGTTTTCTATCTGACAACCTGAGAAAAACGCCTGACTGCACGACATGGCTTTTGTCAATAGAACAAATTAAAATGGAAAGTTCTTCATAACATAGCCTTGCCATAACATTTGTCTGTTTTGCGGCAGAATTGGATTTGCAGAACAACCACATGGCTTTTGTCAATAGAACAAATTAAAATGAAAAGTTTTTCATAGCATAGCCTTGCCATAACATTTGTCTGTTATACGGCAGAATTGGGTTTCAATATTTAAAAGCCATTTGATAAAACTCAATGAGGACTTACGGTAATTAGTTTAATTAACCTAAACCGAGTTTAAAAATTGGAAGACTCGGGATCGGTGCCGATTAGTTTTAAGTAAAAATTAACCTGAATCTGTTTTTTTCGTAAGTGTTAAAAAAATAGAGCAATTTTGATTAAACTTCATACATGATCCTAACAAACATCTTAAAATATTACAGGCCTACGAAAAGTGATTCAATTAAAGAAACTTTATTAAATTCTGGAACAATATGGCTTGCGTTTGAGACATATAACGTGTGCACAATATCAATTGGAAATCGGATTTATCAGTTATTTAAAATAACTATGTATTATCAAAATGAACAGTTTATAGCTCATTTTTCGTCAAAATTTTACAAGTTGTTAAATGTCAATTGTTGTTTGATAATCGCACATATTGCACATATGTTCATGCAACTTGCCTCAATGCAAAATGCCACTTACAGCTAGTTTTTTTTATTTAATTAATATTTATCTTTTATATAGGTATTTCATTTAGTTAATCCAATGCAAATGGAATGAATGAAGGTCGCATATAAAAAATTTGAATTTTATCAATTTAAAATACTAAGATGTATGGGGCAATTCTGCTGTAACAGGGCTAATAACTAATAATGTTATGCTTGTTTCTTGGTAGTGAGATCTATGAAAATGTCTCTATTTGATGTGCGATCAGGCGTCTTTTACATGTGAAAAAGCAAGAAACAATCTTATGATTACAACATCTTTGCTCATGCAGTTTTTACACAGTTTGCAGATATTTTTCACAGTTTTCATTACCAAGAAACAAGCACAACAAAGCGTTGCTATGAAAACGCTATGTTATGGGCTCTGTTACGGCAGAATTTTAGCCATTAAGAAAATTTAAACTAATTGCTAAATTTTATTGATTGAAAATTAAAGAAGTCTTATATTCAAGGTTTTATATTTTCATTGTAATAATAATAAATATATTTATTGTCAATTATTTATCTAGCGGCGTGGATATTTATTGTGAAACCAAAAAAACTTCGAAACTGATGGTTAACTTCAGCAATGCTGATTTTGACCCTAAGAAGGAATTTACTAGTGATGTAGCTGGGCCAAGTAGACGTAGGAATAACCCTGTTGGTTGGTTGCAGGTAAAACTTATTCTGAAATGTATATTCATGTATATGACATAACTATTAATTTATTCTATAATAGGAGTTTTGTACATCGAAAGGATGGCTGACCCCAACTTATACGCTGATGCTTACCGAAGGAGCAGCCCATGAACCTAAGTTTTACGTTACGTGCAGTCTAATGAAGTTTTTCGAAGTGGGTGCCCATCGTACCAAAAGAGGTGCCAAACGCGAGGCGGCCAATAAAGTGTGGCGCCAGGTTTTTGCGGAAAATGTTGAAGTAATCACCAAAACTTTTGAGGAACTTAGAACTGAATAAAGAAACTAAGTTGAAGGCTTTCTTACAATTGTTTCTAATGTTATGGGTATCATTTTTGATTCTTAAGTGAATGTTTGTGAACTAACCTACTCTGTGTTGTATTTGGTGTGTGTGCCAGCTGTGGTTCTTATCTTCGTTGTTAGCCCAGCTACTACATATATGATAATAAACTTACTATCTATGTTGTAATCGTTTGTTGTATTGATTCATAATTTTCCGAAAATTATAATTTAAGTATGTTTATTATTAACAATGCATGAATGGTAATCTACTCCGATTTGCTCGCATCTTTTTATATAGAGATTTTATTTACAGAATTCAATGTTAGATGCTGCTACCAGTTAATCAGTATTTTCTAAATAGAGACTTGAATAAATTATTTATATTTTAAACCACTTATTTCTAGTTCTGATGTAGCATTAAGCTGAGTTCCTAATCCCTTATTAGTATTTTAATTACTTTTTTAAAATTTCTCTAAATTACATTTCTCTAATTACAATCTATCTTTACACAATAACATATAAGACATTTGGTAATTTTGAGGATATATGAGCATTCAACATCAGAATGAAAATGCTTCATTTCTTCACGTTTTAAAAATTTCTGAACATTTTGTCATACCTCAGTAAAAATGGATCTGTGTGTATGTGTCTGTGTATGTTTTGTGTGTCCGCGCTTTTGCGTTCACGTTTTCGGGCGCAGGGATCAACCGATTTGAATGGTTCAAAAAACATTTGATTCCTATTGATAGGGAGATGTGCTGATTAGTTTTTGGCAAAAGCAGGTCCAGCCGTTCCGGAGATACGGAGCAAAGAGTGCAGAAAATAGAAATCGAGTTTTTGAGAGATCGGAGCATCGGATTTAAATGATCTAAAAGTCATTCAATTCGTAATGACGGGGAGAAGTAGTGATTAGATTTTGGCAAAGGCAGGACCAAAAGTTTCGGAGATACCGAGTTAAATGTGCAAAAAATAGCAGTTTTTGAGAGAACTAAGCATCTGATTTGAATTATTAAAAAAACTTTCTGCTTGTTTTAACAAAATAATTGCTTTTGAGAAAAAAATATTTCAAATTTTTTTTCTAATAATTTTAACTTTGTAATTCAGTTTATATCTCTTATATATACGTTTATATAAATATCAGGCAATGTTACAGGATTTATAATAATCTATATAAAAACATTTAATATTTCTGTAACATATTTTGTTACGATACGGGAAGTTCCAGCAATTTGCCTTCAGACACGATGCCATACACAACTAGTTTATTTTTTTTAGTAGTGATTAGATTTTGGCAAAGGCAGGTCAAAAAGTTTCGAAGATACCGAGTTAAATGTGCAAAAAATAGCAGTTTTTGAGAGAACTAAGCATCTGATTTGAATTATTCGATAAACTTTCTGATTGTTTTAACAAAATAATTGCTTTTGAGAAAAAAAATATTTAAAATTTTTTTTCTAATAATTTTAACTTTGTAATTCAGTTTATATAACTCTTATATATACGTTTATATAAATATTAGACAATGTTACAGTATTTATAATAATCTATATGAAAACATTTAATATTTCTGTAACATATTTCGTTACGGTACGGGAAGTTACAGCAATTTGTCTTCAGGCACGATGTCATACACAACTAGTTTAATTTTTTTTAGAAAACTTTTATTGGGTAATACATTATTTTTCATATTGAACACAGTTTTGTTTATTTGTCAGCAATATTTATACTTACGTTAATTGCTATTCATAATTAAAATGATTCAAAATATGAAATTTATCTCTTTTGCTTTTCCCGCTCGATTCAAGATTCAAATTTCGCGCCCGTGTAACGATCGGTGAAGTTATTGCTTTACGTTATATGCATTCAACTTCATGCGGTACGAGTTCAGGGCGAGTCCATTGCGCATTCTGTATCTGTCATCTCTGTCTAACATATTAACGATGCGTGCGTGTGACAGAGAGCAGTGTGGTGACACGAATGCTTGTGAGGAGCTGTCAAGAATTATCGTATTTCTTGACAAGACGCCGTCGCGTGCGGTGGTCTAGTAGTAAATAACATAAATATCAACAAAGTATACGCATTTAGATTTATAGACAATCCGGAAACAATAACAAATAGTTGTTTAATCATTATTAGTTTTATGACGTATGAATTTCGATAATTGTGTGCAATAGTGTTTTAGTGCAACAAAATGGATGACCCTAATAGAATGATGGCACACGGCGGCGGTCTTATGGCACCGCAGGGTTATGGTCTCTCACCGAACGACGGAACCCCCACGGGGGATGGGGAAGCGAGGAAACAAGATATTGGTGAAATTTTACAACAAATCATGAACATTACGGATCAAAGTTTGGACGAAGCACAGGCCAGAAAACACACGCTGAACTGTCATCGTATGAAACCTGCTCTGTTTTCGGTGCTGTGCGAGATCAAAGAGAAAACCGGTATGTCAGATTAAAAATATTTTTTATTTCGATTATGAGCGAGAGTCCGGTTGACTTATGCTAAGCCGCGGCATTTCACTCGTCTCAAGGTTCCTCCGAGAGCGATGCAACAACACCTTACCACTTTGCCTCTCGTGCTACCTGAGATTGTATCTTGTTTTGCACGCTTGTTCACTTTAACGAATTCCATTGTTCGGTCTCCAGTTGTAATACGACTTACAAATATTTGTTCAGACGTTGCAAGATATTTAATCTGTAAATAAACCAGTAGTATTCCATAAAAAATCGACTATGTACATATTTAATTAGGTTATTATTGTGAAACTGTCGACGCCAATATTGCCGGTTAACTTGTTCCGCCAATTTTTTGTTCTGTCAAAGTGACAGCTCGCATGAGAAATGATTGTAAACATCAATCATGCTGATTGCGGTCATAAATTCTCACAAGGCATTGACCTTGATGCTGTTGACATTTTCTCAGATTTATTACTATATTTATAGGAGCATGCTTATTGTTTTCACATTTTTTGACACTGTTTATTACAGACTTTTACTTATAATAAAATCAAACCCTAGCGTGTACTAAAAATTAATTTTATTATGCGACAATGAACTTCAAACGCCGTTCAATTGAATGCATTCATTCAAAGTAATAATTTTGGTTCTATTCAAGTTAAATCGAATATAAACTATATTATACTCTTTTATTTAGTAAAGAATCGATCACTTAAATCTTATTCAATGAGTAAATTTTTTAATATTTATTTATCGTTCACTTATAATAAAATCAAAGCTAAAAATTAATTTTATTATGTGATAATGAACTTCAAGCGCTGTTAAATTGAACGGTTGTATTTAAGTTAAATCGAGTATAAGCTATATTATACTCTTTTATTTAGTAAAGAATCGATCATTTAAATCCTATTCGATGTGCACATTTTTTAATATTCATTCACCGTTCACTTATAATAAAATCAAAGCTAAAAATTAATTTTATTGTGTGATTGAACTTAAAACACCGACTATTTAAATGTATTTATTCAAACGTACTAATATCGATTCTATTTGTGTTAAATTGAGTATAAACTATATAATACTATCTTTAGTTTACTTTATTTGGTAAACTATTCAAGCCTTATTTAATGTGTACATTTTTTTATGTTTATTTATTGTGCCTTAAGCCATGCTATTTGCTTAAATGCTTTCAAATATATTGTATAGACAAAATCTAAGAACTTATAAATTGAACGACATCGTTTATACCCAAGAAAGAGGTTTTTTGAATCATTCAAATCGGAGGCTTAGATCTCTTAAAAACTACTATTTTTCGCACATTTAGCTCCGTATATCCAAAACGGCTGGACCTGCCTTTACCAAAAACTAATTACTACTTCAACCTATGATTACAAATTGAATGTTTTTTGAATCATTTCAATCGGATGTTCCGTGCTCTTAGAAAAAAAATGTAAACACACGAACACACACACATATTCATTTTTTCTAAGATATAAATGATGCCCCAATGAAAGATTTGCATTTTTGTAAATCTTATTTTATTTATTTTTATTTTTTTTATATGGCTTTTTAACCCGGTGGTCATTTAGCCCCTTGCTACAAGGTTATATATATTTTACAATATTAGGTAAAAATAATTAGTTATATTAGCTATTTAATAGCTAATACATTTTATTCTTGCCTATATTTCTACATTGAATTTTTGCAAAAAAAAATCTCAAATATTTTGTCAATTCATCTGCAGATGTGGCTATAAGATTTAGAGAAAAAAAATGGCTATAGGCAAGTTATAATATATTTAATTAAATCTGCTGGCTAATTTCTTGATTATTATATAACTTTATATAATTATAACATTTATGTATCACAAAGACTCCGTAGAAAAATATTAGTTTGTTTCTTTATCATTTATGGTAATTCTTTTATGTGTAGTTTTCTTCCAAATTCCACAAAAACAAATGTTATACATGAAATTTATGAAACAATATTTTTTTATTTATTGCACTATAATTTACTAATTTATTACATATGATTCATTTTATACATTTAACATATTCGCGGACGTGAATGCTAAAGCATTCATTTTCATTTGTTGCAGAATCACATGAATACTATAGCATTTAATTTTTTTTTTCAATATTTTTATTAACAACGATCAAAAATTATAAATTACAAATATGAGGTGTTGACAAATATTTACATGAAATTACATACACATATTCATCTAACAAACAAAAATATACAAAATTCAAATTTTGAATTTGATTTTATATTAACCTCACTTCTTTCTAATTAATATATCTGTCAGTGTAATGACGAACTGAATTTTTAGGTAGATTTATATTATCTTATATTTTTCAATAGAAGCGTAATACTTGACGTGGATGCTATAACATTCATAGTATAAAACGATTAAAACATGAAAATCTTACACTCTTATAAACGTTCTTCAATCAAATTTTGGACATCATAAACAATTTAAAAATATTTCCTTTTGCCTTGTTGCTGTCCACAAACGTGTTAATAATATTAAATCTTATTTTATTTTTATCCTGTATCAATTTGTTTTAGTCAATGTCTTATGAACCTTACTCTATTATATTATTATTATATATTCAACAATTTGGTCTGTGACTATTAATCATCTGTCGTTTAAACTTTGCTAATATAAATTTCATATACCTCGTAAAATTAATACAAAATCATTTACATAAAATTTGTTACAACATAGGGTATAAATTCAGGTGTAAAATTCCAATGAATTGATTGCTATATTCGAGGTGTGAAAAAAGTTGTACATCAGAAACAGAACTTATGTTAAATCTTATTTTTAGCTTTCTAAAAATAGGCAGATGCGATTGCGCGGCTTCCTTACATTGCCTTCCTTTGCTGTATGATATGATCTGTGTCAGTCATATTGAATATTCAAAATTATTCGGTTTTGTATAAATTTTAGTTAATTTATCTAAAGTTGTACTAAACTAATAATTTTATGTTTCTATGTAATCTCATATAAATGTATATATTTATTGTTATTTATACATTGTTTTATACCCAGACGCCGATACATTGTTTTATACCCAGACGCCGATACATTGTTTTATACCCAGACGCCGATACATTGTTTTATACCCGATCAATCAATTGGCATTCGATTTAGACTTTTAAATACTATATATATATATATATTAGGGTGGTTCTTAATATGGACATTCACGAATTTCCTTGCTCCTTCCTTCCAAATTGATAAAAAAAAATCTCTAAAAGTTTTAGCTTTTAATATTAACTTTTAGATAGTGCGCAATTTAATCAAAGCTTTGTATGGAAATAGCATGGAACAATTTTCGAAAATTTTAAAAATGTTTTTTTAGGTATTAAAGTTTAATAAAATATGATTTCAAAAAACTGAGAATGTCTGTCGAATTGCTACTTAGACGTGTCCTTTATTTACTCACAAAATTTTCTGAAACAGAAAATACTCTCATACTTGCGACCAAATTATTCTTAATTGTTTTTAAAGCCTGATATAATAATTCTAAGTTTTTTGTTCTTTTATGTGTGGCTTATAGGGTTTAAAACTCTTTTTTTTAAAAGTTTGAGTAGAGGAAGTTACTTCTTCAAGAAGAAACATATTTAAATTAACACACATATTTAAATTAATATATACACTGGTATAAAAATCTAAATTAATATATACAAAATCTTTATGGGAATCATTGCAGACTGATAAGATGTCAAATGCTATTGAACCGATATGATTTCAAGAATCAAAACGCTTGCATCTATCTTTTATATTTGGCTATATTTGTCATTTTCCATTTATACAGTGAAAACCGACTTCTTTCACTAAAAAAACGGTTTTCGAATTCCATCATTTTCGCCAAGAAACCGGTTTTTGAAAACCGACAAACCCTAACTTATATATAAATACTTACAGAAAATTAATTACATAAAAATACACTACACTATTACACGGTATTAACCAAGCTACTAATAATACTTGGAACATTTAAAGCTATATGATTTTTGAAATTTTTTTTTGTTACATACATTGTTATGTTGTATATATTAAAGGAATTAAAACTAAAAGAAATATAAGCATTATTTAAACAATTTAATCATTCAAACAATTCATTGGTATCATTCACAGCCTGAATTAAAATCTCTATCAACCTTAATCTGAATCTGAATTTCTCTTTGACATTCTTCAATAGGTCTTTAAAAAATATATTTATTTGATGTGTATGTTTATTGACCTCAAATAAATATATTTTTTACCATGTACAAATTTTGCAATTTGCTTACACTTCCGCATCACAAATTTAAATTGTTTACGGCGTTCTCATAAACACGAAGTCAGACCTTAGTACTTTATAAGCTTTGAAATGCATAGAAACTAATTTAAATATATATGAGATTCTATTTCTCATGGCTATAAATATATATACGTGGTACCATGTATAATATATATTATACTGTATATATATATATATATATATATATATGTATATATATGCGTATGTATATATGTATATATCCATATATACATATACACTGAATTCCAGTTAAATACATTTATGAAAAACACGCTGTTTCCAGCCTCATTTAATGACGTCGATTCTGCCTCGTGTTTATGGTTGTATAAATATATACATCTATCTGTGCCTTTCTACAATTGTATATATAAACATATATATATATATATATATATATATATATATATATATAATACAATATCATATATTATGTATGTATTCATGTATGCGAAATTCATCTCCCAAACCGTCGAAAGTTAGTGAATGATCAGCCATTTTGATTTACTGAAAATGAAAAGCCGTCGCATTCGATATTTTGCTTTTTTTTTAATTTTGAGGTCCAATAATAAGTACATCATTATTACTTAAATCATAATTGTTTTTTCCTCCAATTTAAAAAATATATATTTCAATATATAATTGTCTACAACATAATGGTGGATTAGTGTC